TCCCGCTCCAGGCGCCAGGGGTCGCTCCGCCTCCAGCCGCTTATAGTGACTCCCGCCGCGCGGCGACTCACATCACCCGCACTGACGCCCCGGGAGGGAAGGGAGGAAGGTTAGGGACGCAGAGAGGGAGAGCTCTCGCTGGAGACACCTGGCCAGGGCTCCAGCAGGGGCCGGGGCCGCCGCTGGGGTAGGAAGGTGAGTCAGTGCTCGCCAAGAGCCCAGAGCGCCAAACCTATGAGGAGGTCGCGTCCGGTGGGCTCCACCCGCAGCTGAGAGCCCGGGACGTCCGGAGCGCTGGGAGTAATCCTTGCTCCAGCCTCGCGCCAGCCGGGGAGTGATCGGTCTGGATAGCCTGGGACCCAGGCACCGCCATCCGTGATAAAGAAGCTGTCTGGAGAGCAGTCATCCCAGATCTGTAAGAAACCAGCCGTCCGAGAAGCCGCGGATCTCAGGTGCCCAGGATCGTTAGGACTGAACAGGAGGGTAATACAGGACCAGAGGCTCTGAACCGTCGGGAGCTGCCCCTGACGTAACCCACAGGGCACCTCCGTCCGCCTTGACGGACGGTTTGGGGAACTACACCGCTGCGGCGGGTGCGCGTACGGGCGGGGGGCCGGGTGCAACCGTCGGGGGAAATCCAGATCCAGGCTCAAGCCGGGCCACCAACTCCTGGGCCCGCGGAGAGCCCCAGGCCTCCGCCGCCATTGCGCCCAAGAGCGAGGAAGATTTGCTGGCCCTGGCCGCGTCCCGGCTGAGCCGCCGCAAGCGGGTGGCCGGCGCGGCCGTCGGGGTAGCCATGGTGCTACTGCTGCTGGTGGCCATCCCGCTGCTGGTGCACAGCTCCCGCGGGCCCGCGCATTACGAGATGCTGGGTCGCTGCCGCATGGTGTGCGACCCGCATGGGGCCCGAAGCCCGGGCCCCGACGGCGCACCAGCTTCCGTGCCCCCCTTCCCGCCGGGCACCAAGGGAGAGGTGGGCCGGCGCGGGAAGGCAGGCCTGCGGGGGCCCCCGGGACCGCCAGGCCCCAGAGGGCCCCCAGGAGAGCCAGGCAGGCCAGGTCCCCCTGGCCCTCCTGGCCCAGGCCCAGGAGGCGTGGCTCCTGCTGCTGGTTACGTGCCTCGAATTGCCTTCTACGCGGGCCTGCGGCGGCCTCATGAGGGTTACGAGGTACTGCGCTTCGACGACGTGGTGACTAACGTGGGCAACGCGTATGAGGCAGCCAGCGGCAAGTTCACTTGCCCGATGCCTGGTGTCTACTTCTTCGCTTACCACGTGCTCATGCGCGGCGGCGACGGCACCAGCATGTGGGCAGACCTGATGAAGAACGGACAGGTGAGATGCCCCTCCCCCACCGAGCCCAGAGCCGACTGGTAGCTTTCCAAACCTCCCCGCACTCATTCCACAACTGGGCTCCTTCCCTGAGACGGAGTCATCGAATCCAGGAACTGGAGGTTGCCAAAAACTTATAAATCGCTTCATTTACTGAAAAAGGAATTGGGGACCAGAGAAAGAAAACCATCTATCCAGGGTCTCACGGAGTATTAGAAATGGTATCAGAATTAGAACTCAGGACTCAAAGCTTAAAGTCTCTGTAGCTGTGACCTCACACTCCAACTGTGGGCAACCACACAAAATGTCTTTAGTGTCTAGGCCTGCCAATTAGCCTCTTTTCTTGTCCTGTCTTCGGATACCTTCTCTTCTGAGGCAGTCCTCCTGGCCTTTGGGTTTCCCAGCCTTGCACTCGAACTACCCCAAGCCTGGGCTCCTTCCAATTAGAGTAGAATCCATGTCTCAGGCAGTGGGCAGTCAGCAGCTGTTCCCATGCGGGGTACATTCAGCTTGGATTTTTTGAGGAACAGGTAAAAAAGAAAGAAAACACTCAACCAAGCTAGAATGGGTCTTGCTCTCAGCTAATACTGAGTCCAAAGGCAGAGGTGGGAAGTGGTCTGGCAGCTCAGGGGCCAGCCAGGCAGCTGCAAGGAACGGATTTGGAGGAGGAAGGAGGAAAGGGACAGGTAGAAATGAAGCCTTGGACCCTAGCCTGGTCCTCTAGGCCCCAAATCCTCCCGAGGGACCTCTCAGTCTCCAGGTTACACCACTCCCTGTCCCTGTGGGCAGAGTGGGAGTCACTGCTACCTTGATTTGGGGGAATAACCCCAAGGACTCAGCTTGAGGACCAGGACCACAAATAGCAGGACCCAGAGGCCACAGGTGTGGGGTAGGGTGGTGTGGGGGAAGGTGCCTGGGACCCCCCCCGCAGGCCTCAGGGTGAGGTTGGGGCTGAGCAGTGACCTCCCCGAAAGCCCTCTTTTCCCCCTGCGATGGAGGTGGTGGTGACCCAGGAGCACCAGGCCTGCTCCTCCCTGATAGAGCCTAGAGCCCTGCTACCACTGCAGAGCCTGCCTGTCCGCAGACCTACTTTGGGGTCTCCTTCCAGCAGGATCACCCAGGAACCTGGAGAAAGGGAGTGAGTGTGTGCATCTGTATAGGGGTGAGGTAGTGCATGTGTGTAAGGGAGTGTGAAAGTGTGTATGCTTAATGTGAGTGTGTGAGTGCAAAGGTGTGAGAATAGAGGTGGGTGTGCTTGTTCTATGCAGGGTATCCGGGAGGAGGCGGAGGGGGCGAGTGTGTAACTAGTGCGTGTCGGTTTCGGAGGAGGAGGGGGGCCCGCGGCTCCCACTCTGTATTCTGCTGCGCGGGCGCTGCGGCCCTGGGGACGGTAAATAGTGATTAGAATAATGATGAATAATTAATGAGTTAATAACCAGCCCCTGTGGGACGGGAAGAGTGGGGCTGGCCGCCAAGGAGGCTGAGGAGACAGCTGTGAATCAGAGGGGAGGACCGGGCTCCCTGTTCAGCCGAAGGCGACCCCGGTCCAGGCACCAGCGGGAAATCCGCTCCCCAAAGGCGAGAGCACAAGTGTACCTTCCCATGGCCCGCGCCCTGCGGCACACGCACAGACACACCTATGCCCCATCACCTGGGGAATCGAACCCAAGTGTAGGACTAACAGGAAGCCTGAGGAGGTATGGAATGTTAGAAATTATCCTACAGGCTAATGTTATTTTGAAAATGAAAATAACGATTTGAGAATGGAAACCACTGTTTTGAACTGTTTTCACATATAGTAACTCATTTAATCCCAACAACCTTATGAGGTAGTCTCTATTATTATCCCTCACTTTATAGCTTGAATTGAGGCCCAGAGAAGGTGTGAAATTTGCTCCAAGTCATACAGCTAGCGAATGGCAAAGCCTGATTAGCTCAGCGGTCTCCTACCCTCTCCCTGTCCTCCCCAGCGCTGCAGCCAGCTGCCCTCGCGCTGCCTGCTATCTCTGCACGCCCAGCTGCCACAGGGGCCGACCCTCTCTTTACCCATGCTCAGCACAGGGCATGAGCAAGTTGTCTTGTTCTCTTCCCTCGCTAGGTCCGGGCCAGCGCCATTGCTCAGGACGCGGACCAGAACTATGACTACGCCAGCAACAGCGTCATTCTACACCTGGATGTGGGAGACGAGGTCTTCATCAAGTTGGACGGCGGGAAGGTGCACGGCGGCAACACCAACAAGTACAGCACCTTCTCCGGCTTCATCATCTACCCAGACTGAGCTGCCCAGCCCCCGACCCCGTCCGCCCTGCTCGCTCCTTCATTCCCTTCCCAATCTATCTCCAGTTGGCCCTGCCCAAGGAGCCACCCCATGCTTTGAGAACCTGGCGGTGGGGTGGACCCTCTTGCTCCCAGAGGTGGCCTACATGGGCGGACTTTGGACGCTCAAGGGTAGAAGTGGCTGGGGAGGGGAGGAGGCGGGGCTGGAAGAGGAGCAGAAAGGCATCCTGAGGGACCACCAGCATCCACTTGTGCCCTTGTGAAAGTCGGGTAGAGAGAGGGGTGGAGGTCGTGGCTTTCTCTTTTGTCTGGAGATGGGCAGCTGTTTTACTAGCCAGGGCTCAGAAAGCTGAAGGGAAGTCCTGGGAGTTTGGGAGGGAAAGAACAGAAACAGAAGGAGCCCATCTAGGCGAGAGGAGACATTAAGACAGTGTAGGGCTGGTTCTCTGTCATGACAGCTTTCTCTTGCCATGCCCTCTTCCCCTCATCTCCACTTTCAAGCTCCAGGCTCCAGCCTTGGCAGCTTTTCTGTGAACTGGAGGAACCAGTGAATTCTTTCCTGGCATTTAAAACTCATTCTGTACAGTCCCCATTCCACCCCTATCCAGGCTAGGCTTGGGGGCTACAGCTGCTGTTGCCTCTTCCAATAAAGTGAGGTTGGGAGATTGTGTGTGGTTGTTTAACTTGGTGCGGAGTGGGAGCAAAATGGCTGATCCTTTGCCTCACGCCCCCTAAAAGCAAAGGTTTAGTTAATCCTGGCAAGGCCTGCCTCTGAGGGGAAAGGGAGCAGGCGGCCCAGGGCTTCTACTCTGATAGGGAAAGAAGGGGGATGGTATGAGCTTCAGGAGAGCTTCCGGGCCTCACAGGGTAGGTGGAGGGAGATACCAACCAGAATGATACTAGCAAGGGAGGAGTCCAGAGGTCTAGGTCTGGTGCTTCTGCTCTTCTGCCTAATGCATGAAGAGCGTTCTAGAAAAGGGGATGTAGGTGAGGAGGGAGTAGCTGATAGGCTCCTGGAAGAGGGACTGATGCCAAGGAACAAGGAAAGCAGGTCCTACAACTGGCCCCCTACATACTCAGAGCTTGCTGAGGGGGTGGCCTGGGCAGAAGTGGGATGACTTCTCCCTTCAGGACAGCTTCTAGATGAGGGTGCCTGGGGGATCCTGAAAGCCCAGGGCTGGATCTAAGCTGGGCAACACTGCCACCATGTGGGCCATTGGAGAGCAACAACAATCTCTGACCTATTGGACACTTAAAACTTACTAGCTGGACAATCGGACACTTTAGAAACTTTATTAAAGGACAAAAGGGTGTCAGCTCCCAGGACCATGGAGCGGATGAACAATAAATAAGGGCTAAAAGTAAAAAGCAAGGCAGGGCAGGAGTGGTTGCCTCATGATGGAGAGCCCCGAGAGGCAGCAGAACCGACTGGAACAAAACACTGCAGAGAGAAAACAGAACTTGTCACAGCCCAGACATCCTTGAACTGTAGCCAACCCTTCCCACTGACCTCTCCATAAAGAAGCCCAGCTTGGCCCCTGCCCCCTCCCTCCGCAAGGCTGGCTGTGCAGACACAGCCGGGCGGTGGGTTGGGTTGGAGTCTCACCAGGGCATCCTGCCATTCAAGTAACGTGGCCACAGGGTTGGTGCAGACCCGGGTGGGGCCTGAGGCGGGGGCTCGGCTGGTGTAAAAGGCGCACTCATCATCCAGACGAGCCTCGTGGAAGCAGTGGATGGCGGTTAGACATGATTTGAGGCGCTGCCTCAGGGCCAGGGTTCGAGGGGCCAGACTGCTGGGGCCTGAGGGCCATGGAGAGTGTAGAGACTCTGGAGTCCTATACTACTCCCCCCGCCCCACTACCCTTCCCCTCCCTCTCCCAGGGTCCAGCCAGTTAGGAGCACAGGGCTAGAGGTGCAGCTCCCTCCCCTTTCCTGAAGGAGAGCCCAGAGCAGGGTAGCAGGCAGAGGAAAGGAAGCAGGGGCTACCTGGTGCAGGGCAGGGGCCCAGCTTGCACTGAGAGATGAGGACTTCCTTTGTTCACACCCCTTCCCAACCAATTTCTTACCTGCCTGGCCTGTTGGGGGCCTCAGAGACTGGAGTGAGCGGATAGGGGGGCTGGCACAAAGTGGGTGTTGGGAAGAGAAGATCAGGCTGGTGGTCGCCGGAGCCCCCTGACTGCAGCAGGATGGTGGGCTGGACTCCGGACGTCTAGGACCCAGGAAGCAGGCCTCTGATGTCCCAGGCTCTATCCCAGGGCAGGGCTCTGAGGGTCCAGCCTGCCCCTGGGGGCTGGGCTGGAGGGGTCCAGGCTCTGCGAGAGGGCAGGGCCCTGATACTTCAAGCTGTTCCTGGGCAGAGGGCTCTGGGATCTCAGGCTCAGTCCTACAGTAGGACTCTAGGGGCCCTAGCTGTGCTGGAGAGCAGGGCTGTGGTTCCCCACACTCTTCTGGAAGGCAGGGCTTTGGCTGCCCAGGGTGTTGTAACAGTCCAGGAAGGTGGGAAGTCCCAGAATTACATTCTGGGGCATTCACAGTTCTAGATATCTCCATCAGCAGGGACTGAAGTTCCACCATATCCAGAGGGGTATCTCCATTAAGGAGGGCACATTGGCCCCCTGCCAGCCCCTCCACCTCTTGTCTCAACAGCTGCTGCAGGATACCGATGCGCTGTTGTGGGAGAGAATACCCCAGTGTGACATTAAGATGTAGGTTTAAGTAGTTTACCACCACTGTCCCCTTCCCATACCCCAACCTCCTCTCCGTTCTCCCTTCCCCAGCCCTGAATACTGCCCATCAGACATGAAAGCTGCTGCCCCCACATATCCACCTGCATCTTCAGCTCCTGGAGGCTGGGAGTTCTACCGGGGTGGGGTCCAGAAGGGGGGGCCACAGGTGGCTTTGCAGGTCCCTCCAGCGACTTTATACAACTCTCCTGGTCAAACAACCGCACTGCAATCTGCTCCTGTCATAGAGGAGGAAGGAGGCATATGAGGAAGCAGCACAAAGACTAGCTTCAGTCTCACCCTCATGAGGAAGGGATCGAAGCCCCGACTGAGAGGCCCTAGACTTTGATTAGGGCAGAGAAGCAGGGAGTGCTGGAGAGGTAGGTAGCTTTTCCAGAGAGCACATTTGCCTCAACTGCTGGGCCTCCAGGCCAAGAGGACAGAGCAATGGATTTCAGCCCGGGAAGGCTTCTCATACTTACCCAGGGCAGAGCAGGCTCTTCAGGGCAGGACTGAGGGGAGAGGCCACTCAACCATCGGGCCTGGGACAAAAGTTAGATGTCAGCAAGGCCTAGCACCCACAGATGGGACCCAACCTCCCCTTGCCTCTGTCTGAACTCTCCCTGTACCCATCCATCCCCTCCCTCCTCCAGCCCTGGCCTATACCAGTACCTACCGTGCCCTCTCTTACCTGATGAACTCTTGGGGCTGATAGCATGGGTGTGAACCGGGTTTTGGGCCGAACAGCAAGACGCCGCAACACTGAATATGAGTTCTGAGGAGAGATGTGGGTGGCTGAGCAGGGACAAAACCTAGACCTAGCAGGGATCTCCAGCCAGAACGTTCTGCCCTTGCCCAGCTGCCATGAGTTGCTGATACAAACCAGAGCTGAGAAGCCAGGGGAGGTTACACGCTGAGCCCGTCCAAAGGGTGATGGACGGGTAACAGAAGGTGGCACTTCATGACCAGGCATGGGCTGGGCCACAGGGGAAAGGGAAGGCATCAGATGGGAGTCACAGATGTCCTGTGGAGAGGAAAAAGGTGGGAAGAGTGACCCCGTTCCCCTTTGCCTCCCTATGTCTTGTTCTCACTACAGCAGCCAGCATGATTCTTTTAAGGCCCAAGTCAAATCACGTCACTCCCTTGTTCATCCCTTGTCCCCATGGCTTTCCACTCGTTCCAAGAAAAAGCTAAGGACTTATGCTGATGTGCAAGTCCTTATGCAGTCTGATCCTGTCATCACTGTAACCTCATTTCCCACTGTCCTCCAATCTGGCCTTTGCTTTTTGCTGACCCTCAAACACACTAGGCACATTCCCTCCTCAGGACCTTTCCCTCCCCAGTTCTCCTGGCCTGGAATGTTCTTCCCTCAGTTATCTACATGGCTCACTCCTTCAACTCCTGCTCTTCACTTAAACATCATCTTCTCAATAAGTCTCCTGACCAATCTATTTTAAAGGGCAATACCAGCTCCCCTACTCCCAATTCCCATCAGTGCCTTGTCACTATCACTATCATTTTTTTTTTAAACAGAGAACTTATCACCATTTGACATAATATATATTTCACAAGTGTTTATTTTTTGTCTCTCCCTTCTAGAATATGAACTTGCTTACGGCATATGTCCAGATCCTAGAACAATGCCTGGCACTCAGTGGCTGGTGCTACTCAATAAATATTTGCAGAGTGAAAGGATGAACGCTTTTGGCGTACAAGTGCCAGATCTGTCTCACCCTCAGCACTGATCTGATACATACCAGTCTGTGACCTCTCACCCCAGGCCCCAGACACCTGGTAAAGAGAGGTCAGTCCCACACTGGAGAGGGCTTGGGCCCATCTGGGGCAAACCCAGACCCAATAGCATCCCAAGGCCCAGGACTGGCTGGTTCTACCCACTATCTTTAGTATTGGCTGCTACTGTGAAATTCCCCCAATCATTTCCTGTGCCTCCCACCTCCTATCCCAGGCGGGGCCCAGCTCACCTTGGTGTGTGTTATCTTTCGGGTTTCTCTTAATGGTACTCGCTGGGCCAGACCAAGGGAGGCCACTCTTCCTTCATCTGAGTGAGTGACAACCTCATGTTCTCCTTTAGGGAAAGAGGAAGCTGGGAAGAAATAGGAAATTTTCTGTAGTGTCTAGAACACCCACCAAAGTCTGGCACAGGGCTTTGCGATCTCTGAAGAGGGTATACCATTTTAACAGCCCTCACTGCACCATTGGGGGCAGGGACTCATCCAGCAGCCCCTCAAAGCCCAACACTATCTCAGGAAACACTTATTAATCTGAATACCCTGAGTGGGCTGGGGGTGTGGTGATGGCCCTTAGGGGCTGGGGATAGAACAGTGAGTGAGGGTAAATATTGCAGAAAGCGGCAGGGAGAGGGCAGAAATGGGGACCATCTCCTTTCCACTCCTCCCCACTTCCTCACCCGCCCCACTCCCTGCAGTCTGCTGAGCTTTCTCTTGTCTTGTCCCCTGCTGTGGGCAGCCCGCCTGCTCCTGTTCTCTCCCCAAAGCCAGAGACACTCACCAGGCTGGACTGGGGTCTTCGGGAGCAATCCTGAGGCTTCACTCACTGAAGTCCTGATGATAATAAGGACAGCAGCTAGCAGTCACTGAGTACCAAGTGAGCTGGGCATGTGCTAAGTGCTTTACAAACATCATCTCATTTCATTCTCACAGCAACTTCTAATGATGGTACAAACATTATCCTCACTGACAGTTAAAGAAACCAAAGCTCAGGGAGGTTAAGGCAAGTCTGCACAACTACTAAGTGATAAGAGTCAGGAATTAAACCCAAATCCCATGTATTGCCATAGTCTATGCTCTAGACACTAAACAAAAGAGATAGCATATTTCTGTCCTCCTCATCCCCCCCATTTCCTTGCTAAGGAAACTGATGTCATACTAAGGCCTGGTTATGAAGGCCTGAACGCTATTCCAAGGGCTCACCCAGGGTAGTCACAGATTTCCCCTTTTCGCTCCTGGGTTGGCAGGGAGTTCTAAAGCTACTGGAAGGTGCTAGATCTGGGGGACTCCTGTATCAGACATTGGTTCATTCTTTTCCAAATGATCTTCTCCCATACCCTCTCCTTCTCACCGGCTGTTGCCACCTCTCTCTCTTCTTAGCTCCTGGAAAGTGGGGCGAGTGGAGGGGTGAAAGGAAGATCCTGAAGGTGAAATCTGATCCATAGGAACAAGAGATAAAAACAGACTCAGAGGTCAGCCCCAAGCCTTCAGGCCTCACCACCAATGCCATCTCCCCACATAGAATCCCTTAGCTCACTCTGCGGTACCTTCTCTCCCAGGGCCCAGCTCTGTCCCTGGAAGGAGCTCCCAGAAGCACTGAGTATCAGCCCCTCAAGGGCACTCACCAGAGCCTCTAGCCTCTGGGGGCACAAAGTCCGGCCTCGAGGTCCTGGTCCCTCCAGCCTTGAGAAGCAAGAAGCCCTGGCAGGGTCCAGTTGGTGGGTGGGGGTTCTGGCGGCCAAATATGCAGAGGCCCGAGCACCCTGGGACCCCAACAGAGGCTGTCAGCACAGGCTCAAGGTTCCCTCCTCAGTCCACCCCAGCTGATCTCCTCAAATCCTGTCTCATTACCTGGCCCCTCCGGATGGCGCCTCCCTGACTCCCTCGAACCAGTACTCTCTGAGCCAGACTGGGCCGGCACCTCAGTTGACAGCTCTTCACCCCTTCACCTGACAGGATGGTGGCCAGAGCTGCAGGGTCAGCCACAAAGTCTATGGCCCCGGGAGCCTCTACAAGGAAAGAGTAGAAGGGAAGGTGAGAAGGAACAGGAAGGGGGAAGATGAGGGGCTAGGGACCCTAGTGTTGTCACCTTGAGGTGGAAGAATGAGCAAAAAAGACTCATTGAATTGCACTCAGCTCCCCAAATGCTCACAGAACTTTACTTAAGACATTATTTTAAGCATCAGGGCCCAAAGATGAATAAGACAAAACTCCCATCCTCAAGAAGCTATCGACGAACTATAGAGAGGTAAAAGACTCAAGTCAAAGTATGGACATGTTATAAAAGAAATACTGCAAAGTATTAGGACACAGAGTAATTGATTGGGGGTGGGGGGAGTGTTTAAAAAGGCTTGAAACATTTTGTTGAAGTAAATGAAGTCTCCTAAGAACAAAGAGCTTTCCAGGAGCAGGGACCGGGGGTCTTACGGTAAGCAGAAGATCAGGGGGAGTGCAAAGCCCCCAAACCCCACCGTGCCCTCCCCAGTCCATCACTTAGCCATGGAGGGTGTGTTCCCAGGCCTCCAACAGGTACCTGTCTGGGGAGGGGGCCCAGGCCCCACATTATGATCCCCAGGGTTAGGCCTGAGCTCCTCCAGGGGGTTCCGGAGCTGAGTGATCCCCTCCAATCTTTGTGATGTCTCTGTTTGGTGTGTGCCTTTCGGCCTGGGGCCTGCTGAGTCAACGAGGGGCCGTTGAATACTGAGCGTTGGCTTCTGCACCCATCTCTGGGGGAGAGAAAAAGGACAGAAAGTTGGAGTTCATCGTTGGGGTGCATTGCTGGTGTATGCTGTCTCCTTGTAGCTACTGTCTTCACCCACCAGGCCCCACTTACCTTTGGATCTTGGTTCTCCTGGTCCAGGGCACACGGTCTGACTGTGGGGAAAAGCGGGCGTCTCCGAGAGCGTACCGGAATCTTGCTAGGGGTGGGAGACACTCCCTGGAGGAGGGGATCCTTCATGGCTTGGAGGGTGGTCATGACGGCTACAATTGAGATAGGGAAGAAGGCAGGCAGGATCAGGGATCAAAGGTCAACCAGTTCTCGGGTAACCGGTCGTGACACCCCTCATACCTCCACCCAAATCTATGCGCCCACAAGCCCCCAGCGCCTGCAAGGCCGCTCTTCTAGGTGCCACCTCCAGATACCCTGAACCTACTCTTTCACTCCCGGACCCCAAACTACTCTCCTCCCTAAAAGCCTCCGCAGCCCTCATCCCCTCCAAGATTCGCATGCAGCACCTTCCCGGAACCCCTCACGGTCGTCCCCGCTTTCTTCGCTTTTCCCCTGATTTTCTCAGCTTCTGCTGCAGCTACTTCCCCAGTTTGTAAAATACACGAAGCTCCTGATTGGCTCGTCCGTGAGCCCGCGGAGGGGCGTGACATCTGACGCAGCCGTCCAATCCGAAGGCTTCAGAGGCGGGGCCAAAGGAAGGACTCGTGGTCGAACCGCTTTCTGGCCAGGAAAAAACTGATCCGGCTCAATCAGCCAATCCGAGAGCGGAGAGCTGGTGGAAGGCGGGGAAAGAGAAAGTAGAAGGCCGTTCTGGGGCCAGGGAAGGCGTGGCGCTCCGAGGCTCGGAGACAACGGGAGCTGTTGTACTCTCGCGAGTTCTCGGGACTGGCGAGGGTTGGACCAGTAGCAAGAAGGGCCCGGGTATTGTGGAAAGGTTTGGCTGGTCGAGATGATTGCAGCTGGCAGTGTTGGAGGCTGGCCACAGCCGCTGACCCGACTCTGACCATAGTGAGGCGCCACGATTTGGGGCGCCATTGCAGACGCTTATAGAAAACATATGCAAGTTATTCCCGGCATGGGGAGCTGCCTCCAAACGGGCAGAGAGGACTGGAGGGACTTGAACTGGTCTAACAAGAACATTTGCTCACTGGAGCCTCACAACCCAGTGAGATGTGGTCTCCATTTCACAGATAAGAAACAAGATTGGTTGTTGCTGAGCTCAATCAATACAACACCAGAATGGAATAGCTACTCACAGCTGGGGGCTTCCTCACCTTTGGGTTGCCTTTTGCAGGCCTAGAGGACTGGGTAGAGGGAGCTTCCCGGCTGGTTATTGGCAGGTAAGGATGTGAGGCTGTGAGATCCTATCCTGCTTAGAATGGAAGGGGTAATCCCTAATGGAGGACGGGAAATGGACGATGGTTTCAAGTTTACAGGATTTGGATAGATTTCCCCTCTGACCACATCTGTTCTTATTACACAAGCCGGGAACCTGGGAGTTATTCCTGAGCTGCCCCCACCCCTTTCCATATCCCATCTCTTGTCCACTCTTATAAATTTTACTTTTTGTTTAAGAGAGAATCTTGCTGTGTTGCCCAGGCTAGAGTACAGCAGCACCATTATAGGTAACTGTAACCTCAAACTCTTGGGCTCAAGCAGTCCTCCCACCTCAGCTTCCCAAGTTGATGGGCCTACAGGTACAGGCCACCATGTGGTCTCGAACTCCTGGCCTGCCAAAGTGTTGGGATTACAGGGATGAGCCACTGCGCTCAGTGTAATTTTACTTTAATGCATCTACTTTCTTCATTTTAATTACCACCACCCTAATTCACACTAATCTCACATAGAGGATTGCAAGTCTTTTAGTCTCCATTCTCTCTTTCCTTCCACAGTCATCCATTCTCCATATAGCAGCTAGAATAATCTTTACAAAATGCAAATCTGATCACATGACCACTGTCACTTGACCTCTCCCCACTAAAACATTCCATTTGGTACCACTCTTCCCCTCTGCCTTCCAACTCCATGGCCTGTTTCAACTCCTCAAATTTGTCATACTCCCTGTAGTCCCTCTGTCTGGAATGCCTTTTTTGCTTCCACTTTGCCTATTTATGCCTCCGAATTGACATCCATTGTTACTTCCTTGAAGTAACAAGGCTTTCCTTGAATCCCTCTGCCCAAAACCCACCCCAAGGGCCGGGCGCGGTGGCTCACGCCTGTAATCCTAGCTCTCTGGGAGGCCGAGGCGGGTGATTGTTTGAGCTCAGGAGTTCGAAACCAGCCTGAGCAAGAGCGAGACCCCGTCTCTACTAAAAATAGAAAGAAATTAATTGGACAACTAAAAATACATAGAAAAAATTAGCCGGGCATGGTGGCGCATGCCTGTAGTCCCAGCTACTCAGGAGGCTGAGGCAGAAGGATCGCTTGAGCCCAGGAGTTTGAGGTTGCTGTGAGCTAGGCTGACGCCACGGCACTCACTCTAGCCCGGGCAAAAGAGTGAGACTCTGTCTCAAAAAAAAAAGAGAGAAAACATTCTAGTCACTAAGAATAATACTTGTCAAGGCAAGGAAACATGAAAGAATATGGAGTGTTCAGAGAGGTGAGCCCTTGGGGATAGATGGAATGTAGGGAACGGTAGGAAATAAAACTAGAGAGATGGTCTGAGTTGAGGGAAAGGGAGAGTCACCTCATTCCACTAACAGGTATTGTGAACGTGCCAAACTGTAATCACTAGATCAGCAGGGACGGCTACTACCAAGTATGGTGCAACTACTATGTGTAAGGCTCTTTGCTAGTCATTGGGGTTACAGGGAGGAATATGGCTGAAATTCGAAGGATAGGCAGGCCCTAGGATGGAGATTGGCTGCATAGTGGCTTCATGTGATTTTTAAGGTAGTCTACACAGTTCAGGTCTTGTCTTCAGCTTCATGGACTTGGAAGCTTGAGTTTGCCAGGCTACCCAGAGTAGATCATGGGACTGACTCACACTAGTCAAATTCATAGAAGAAGTTGAGTTATTTACCAATGACCAAAATATTTATGCCTGCTCTTGAGAGTACCACCTTCACAAAAATCAAAATATAAGAGAGACTGATTTTATATTAGAAAAGTCTTTAAAAGAGCCAGTGCTTAGAATACCTGCCAAACCTATCAGAGCATCCAATCTGTTTTCTACACAGCAGCCAGGGTGACCTTCTTGTTTGTCTTTGCTGGACCTTACATGCAGGGATTTGAGTTACTCCTCATAGTACCTTCATTGACATGCAAACCATCCCTCTTGTTTTATTCTATCATACCCCCCCTTCATTCCCTATCTGCTCTCCTATTCCCCTCTCCCATAGACATTCATTCTACATATTTGATAGATGTTTTTAACTATGCATGCATGCTTATAAAATATGTACAGTTGCGTATTCATTGCCTGTTGCTACTGTAACAAATTACCACAATTTAGTTCTTTAAAGCAACGCAGATTTATTCACTTATGGTTCTGGAGTTCAGACGTCTGAAATCAAGGTGTTTGTTGGCAGTGCTCTATTCCTTCCAGAGTCTTCAAGGGAGAGTCTGTTTCCTTGCCCTTTTTTCCTTACATCAATGTACAGAAGTTCCAATGTTGTATTAACAGTAGCAGCGCCAGGGGCAAACTTGACTTATGGGGAAGCATCTAAAGTTTCTCTCAAGAGTAACTTTTTTTTTCATGTTTCTGTGAAACAATCTCAAACTTACAGAAAATGTGCATGAATACACATAACATTTTTCCTCAACCATTTGAGAGTAAATTGAAAATATAGTGCCTCATCTCCCCCAAATACTTTATTGTGTATTTCCTGCAAACAAGGACATTATCCTAACATAGCCACAATACAACCATCAAAATCAGGAAAATAACACTGATACATTCCTACCCTCTAACCCTCAGACCCTCCAATGGTTAATTTTAGGTGTCCACTTGGAGTGAATTGAGGGATGCCTAGATGGCTGGTGAAGCATTGCTTCTGGGTGTGCCTGTGAGAGTGTTTGGGGAGGTGGAGATTGGCTGTGAATCTGTGGACTAAGAGGAAGAGCCACCCTCAACGTGGGCGGGCACCATCCAATCTGAGGGCACCATCCAATCAGCTGGGGGCCCTGGTTAGAACAAACACACAGAAGAGGGGGATTCTTCCTCTCTCCTCTTTCTCTCTCTCCCTCCCTCCCCAGTGAGATGCTTGTCTCTTCCTGCCCTTGGACATCAGACTTCAGGTTCTTTGGCTTTTGGACTCTGAGACTTGTACCAGCGACCTCCTGGTTTTTGAGGCTTCCGTGGTTCTGAGCCTTCTTGACTTGGACTGAGCCACGCTACCAGCTTCAGAGGTTCTCCAGCCTTCAGAGGGCCTACTGTCAACTTCTCTGCCTGTTATCATCATGTGGCCAATTCTCTCATAAAACCCCTCTCCTATATCCAATCCAGTCTGTCTCGAACCCTGACTAATGCAGACCCATTCAAGTTTCACCAGTTTCCCAGTGATGTTCCTTATAGAAGGATCCAGTCCAGAATCACATGTTGCATTTAGTTGTCACGTCCCTTTAGTCTCTTTCAATCTGCAACAGTTCATTTCTGACTTTTATAACCTTCACACTTTCGAGGATTGCAGGCCAGTTATTTTGTAGAATTTCCCTCAGTTTGGGTTTGTATGATATTTTCTTATGAGCAGACTCAGATTAGTCTCTACGGTGGGACTGTTACAGAGTGATGCTGTTTTCTTCCTAGTGCATTCTAGCAGGTGGCTACTGTTTCAAATTGTCCTAGTACTTTGATTACTTAGTTAAAGTAGTATCTGCCAAGTTTCTTCACTGTAAATTACTCTTCACCTTTGTAAGTAAGAAGTATTTTGTGTCAGCAGGGGGTACTTTGAGATTATGTAAATATTTCTTCAAAGTTTTGCTATTTTTGAAATTATATCAGTATTAACTCATAAATTCCTATTGAGTGGATTACTATGCAATTACTAATATTGTTTATTTTGATACACATTTTCTTGGATTTGGTCAGTGGGGAGCCCTTTCAAGTTGTCTTCTGTACCCTTTTAGCATGACCTCATCACTGTTTAGCATTGTTTGTTTCTGGCATAGCAACATGTTTCAGGACCAATTTATACTTTCTTTGCATCAGCTCTGGAATCAGCCATTTCTCCAAGGAGCTCTGGTTCCTTTTAGTGCAGATGTTGAGAAACCAAAATCTGGACACTAGTTGTGCTCATTGCTGTTAGGATCTTGTTGCTCCCAGGCCCTCTCAGTGGACAGAGCTAGGGGATATATTCCACACACACACACACACACACTCACACACACACACACGCACACAAACACGCACCACATTTACATCTATGTTATTCTATATCCAAATATATTGAAAACCATGAGTTCTAGACTGACCTTTAAAAAAACCTCATTTGCCTGCTTTAAAATACTTCAAAAGCTTACTATTGTCCTCAGAATATATTTACTCTTACCAAATATTTTAGGACCTTGCAAAGATAAGGGTAGGCTCTCTTCTCTTTGCCAGCCCCCAATTAACGAATTAATATTTTAAAATTTCACAATAAAGAAACAGATCAGGGAACA